CCAGAGCCTCATGCTTGCTGGGCAGACATTGGAACGCTGAGCTACATCCTCAACCCAATCCTCCGTCTTATTTTAAAACTCTAAAGGAAACGGATTTTGTGGGTATTTTAATCTTTAATTTGGTCAAGAGGATAGAGAAAAATAAACCAGAAATAGGGTTAACAAAATGTATTAGGATTAGATGTAAGTATATTTAACTAGCATAGTATTGTACAAATTTTAAAAAGTTACCATGTCCTCTGGTTATAGAGTAGAAAACTACGCTAAGGAGGTAGAGGGGAAGGCGGAAAATAAAAAAAAGAATTGAGATGTATTATACACAGATGAGGTAGAAGATCAGAGAGTAGTCAGCTGGCTGGGCAAGTGGGTGTGCCAGGACATGCACAGAAAAACAGTTCCACTCAGGAAGTGCTACCTTCAGTTCTTTTTTTGTTGTTACCAGGGATCAAACTCCGGTCCTTGCACTTTCGGGGCAGGCAGTGGAACCACTGAGGTAAATCCCAGGCCCCCTCCAGTTCTTTTTGTGAGAACTGAATTGGGTTTTTGATAGAACAGCCTAGACCTTACATTAGGGTGAGGAGTGGGAGACACAAAAGGTGGCCGCCGTTAAGCTCCTGGCCACCATGTTCTCTCTTTCATCGTTGGTCCCCTCTCACACTGCAGTGTGTACTTCTTTTCCTACTTTTAATTGGCCCACACTCGCTCTGCACAGCCTGTTCCTTTTCTTACCTTTAATAAATGTAAAACCTTGTTACCTTTTGCACTTGCCTTGAACGATTCTTTGTTCAGGACAGAAAGAACCTAAAAACTATGTTCCTAGGACACTCCAGAACCCAGTAACACATATACCAATTCCCTCCAATGAATGTAATCACTATGTACTGTAAACATGTACTAGAAACAAAAATGAAAACAAAAAACTGTTCTAGACTTAATATGAGGATGTGGTTCAGTGGTAGAACACCTGCTTAGCATGTGCAAGGCCCTGGTTTAGAACCCAAGCACCACTTAAAAAAAAAAAAAATTCACTGCCAAGTGTGGTGGTGCACACCTATAATCCCAGCACTCAGGAGGCTGAGGCAGGAGGATCACTGTGAGTCTGAGGCCAGCCTGGGCTACATAGTGAGACCCTGTCTCAAAAAACAAACAAACAAACATATATAATTAAATATAAAAATTCACTTTATATTTTAAACATCAAAAATGCAATTTGCACCAGGGGTGGTAGTGCAGGCCTATAATCCTAGCAATGGGGAGACGTAGGCAGGACGAACTCGAGTTCCAGACCAGCATGGGCTATATATATTAAGACCTTGACTCAAAAAAAAAAAAGTAACTTATAAAACTTATACAGACAGGGCCGGGGATTTAGCTCAGTGGTGCTGCCGCCTGCCTCACAAGCACAAGGTCCTGAGTTTGATCCCTGGTACAAAACAAACAAACAAACAAAAACAAACACTTATACAGCCAATAATTGGAGGTACCTAGAGTACATTTTAGTCTTATCCCTCTAACAACTGTTTGGCATCACTGAGCTTCTATACCTCAGAGAGAATTCAATAGCTGGCTCTTGTCCTTTGTGAGGCTACAATCCAGGAGTTTTTCTTGACTGTGCATTCTACATAATGAATAGAACAAAAATAAAACTGCTTTCACAAAATTTTTCTAGATTATTTCAGTTTTTGTGCTCTTCTCCCCAAATCACTTAATGTGTAGTAAATAAGAACAAGCTGCAGCTTTGTCCTTTTTTTTCTTTCAGAAAGAAAAGTGCCTTCAATTGTAAGGAAAATGAGCTGTGACTCTCTCAGAGATTTGCTCAATAAATCTTGTATCTTCACAGTTACATTACACGAGTGATGAAAGTCATCATTCAACATCTTTTGTTTCCAGGTGAAAAGTACTGTGAATAGTAAGTCTAAAACTGCCCAAGAATAAGTAACATTTTAAAATCTTAAGCATACCTGGAAAAACACCTTTTCTTTTTATATTTTGCGATATTGGGGACTGAATCCAAGACCTAATACATAATAGGCAAGTGCTTCTGTCACTAAACAAGCAAGTCCTTCAGCCCTTCTGAAATTTTATTTTGGGACAGGGTCTGGCTAAATTGTCCAGGTAGACCAGGTGTGATGGCACACACCTGTAATCCCAGAACTTGGGAGGCTGAGGCACGAGAATCACTACAAGTTTCAGGCCAGCCTGGGCTATATAGTGAGTTCAAAGCCAGTGAGAACTACACAGTGAGACCCTGTCTCAAAAAACCAAAAATAAATAAAATAAAATAAAGTAAATACATTGCCTAGGCTGGCCTTTAACCTGTGATCCTCCTGCTTCAGCTTCCAAAGAAGCTGGGATTACAGGCATGTGCCATGAAACCCAGCTAAAAAAAAAAGTCTTTATTTCCAAATCTGTGTTACAGTAAAGTAGTAGTTTCTTTTCAACCTCCTGGCTTCATCATTAGGTAGGTAATGGCACTGTGCCAGCTGTGCATAGAGAGCAGTCCAAGATTCCTTTTTTTTTGGCCTATATTGGGGGTTGAACCCTGGGCTGCATTACCACCAAGCTTACATCCTCAGCCCTTTTTAGTTTTTGAGACAGTCTCACTACAGTACCCAGGCTGAGTTTGAATTTGTGATCCTCCTATCTCAGCCTCTTGAGTACTTAGGATTACAGGCATGTGCTACCATGTGTGGCAATGAGATGCTTAATATCAGATCCCAAGTATCCCCAACACAGGTGTGACAGATCAAAAAGAGCTATGAACATGTATTCATGAAGGAAATTCTTTTTTTTTTTTTTTTTAAGACAGTCTTGCTATATAGTTCATGCTGGTCTTGAACTCACCATGTAGCCCAGGCTGGGCTCGAACTCACAGTAATCCTCCTGCCTCAGCCTTCTGAGTGCTGTGATTACAGGCGTACACCACCATGCGCAGCAATGCAGTAAAATTCTGCATACACATTCCTAAATATCCACCATTCTCTAGGATTTTAGAACACCTTGAGGGATCGATGCCCTTTAGCACAGAGTTCTTACCATCATGGTCTGCTGTTGGTGCTGCAAAAGAAGATTGGACTAAAAAAAATCTGAATTCAGGCTGGGGATTTAGCTCAGTGGTTCCATCGCCTGCCTCACAAGTGCAAGGTCCTGAGTTTGATCCCCAGTAACCCCCACCCCAAAATCTGAATCTAGTCTCAGCTCTGCTGCTTATTAGTTGTGTGACCTTTGGAAAGTCTTAACTCTGTAAATGTCACTGTCTACCTCAGAGGCAGAAGAATGGTGAAGAGTGAATTAGATAACAAATAAGAGAATGATATGCAAAGGTGTTGCTTTAGATTACATATATGCCTTCAGTTTATGCACAAATGACCTGAGACATCCCTTTCATGCCTCTGAAAACCATCTTTCACTGTACCTTTTGTTCCACAGTCACAGAATTATGTTCTCCTGGATATATCTGTTTCTGCACTGAGTTGTTCTCTGATCCTCAATTACTGAAAACATATACTCATCTTCCAAGACTCAGCTCAAATGTCACTGACTCACAGAAGCCCTGCAGAATCCTTCTTATGAAGGATTTGTCACACATCTCTGCTCATCTTCTAGCATGCTTTTTTTATACTGTGGTTATAGTGACTCGGAATCACTTCACTGTTTAAACCGTTAAGTCATGCACTGGTCTAACTGCAAAGTCCCAGGAGCCTCAGTGTCACATGTTATTTACCTTCCTTGCCCCTTGTGTTTAGGAATTAGGATTTAATTTCAGTTTCACAACCAAGTAACATAGTGAACTCAGCAATTCCAGGTCTATAAAAGGAGATGGTTGATCTACAATTATTTTCCTATAGTAAATGAATTCTGAATCTGAGAACTAAAATTCCATATCCATGTTTCAGAATCTTTAGAATTTTCATATTGGGCAATAGTTTTATGTAGCTTTCACTGAATACCTACTCAGACAAAATTTCACTATTATATAGTGGATAAAGCCAAGAATAAATTCTAAAATTGTTAGCAGAAAATCCTATCTTTGGGAATTTTCAATTTTTGAAATAATGAATATTCCTGAGTTCTCCAATTTATTTGTCTCTTAAAATCAGAAATTTGCTTAATAGTTTGCTACATTATATAAAGAACTTTTTATCCTTATACCAACAGCTGTAGCAGCAGAAACGAACTAGTCCATTGTAACTTCCTCGCTCTGGAAGCTGGCAAGGCCACAGGGGAGCAGATTCTTTACTTGTGTGAGTCTCCTTGAGAAAAGAATTTCTATCTTAGGGCCGGGGATTTAGTTCAGTGGTTCCGCTGCCTGCCTCATAAGCACAAGGACCTGAGTTCAATCCCCAGTACCAAAAGAAAAAAAAAAAAAGGGCCAGGGATTTAGCTCAGTGGTTTTGCCACCAGCCTCGCAAGCATCAAGGGGACCTGAGTTCTATCCCCGGTACCAAAAAAAAAAAAAGAAAAAGAAAAAAAAGAAAAAGATTTTCTATCTTAATACATTCCTAGTATTCTCAGTATCTAGCTCCATGCCTTGCAAAAGGATAGCATTCAGCAATATTCACTGAATTAATGCCCATGAATTCCATTCTCTAGACCCGGTGACCTTACTGTATGTTCAGAAGAAAAGACGTCCTGTTCAGTAGTAGGTATTAGTGGTAAAATAGACTTTTAAGCATAGATTTTCACATCCATGCTCAGTTATACATGAACATATCTAATAATAACTTTTTTTATTGGCTAGTAATAACAACATATTTAAAAAGCCAACCACATACCAGGCAGTAATGCATAGTAGCTTTTACATGACTTTTGTGGAAAAAAAAAAAAAAGTCCTGAATTTTCACTGCTTCAAGAATACAGAGATGAGGGCTGGGGAGATAGCTCAGTGGGTAGAGCACTTGCTTAGCATTCACAAGGCCCTAGGTTCAATCCCCAGCACCACCAAAAAAACCAAACAAAAACCCCCAAACCAAACCAAACAAAAATACAGATGAACTTACCATCATCTAAAGTGATGTCCTGTAGACCAATGGTTGCAAAGTTAGGTTCTCGATCTTCAGGTTCAGGTTTAATGCTTACATTAATGCTTGTCCCATCAGGTGGAAATGATGCTGGATCACACAAACTGTGACATATTAAGGATGAAGGTGCGGAAATACCTCCCTGGTCTGTATTTTGTGCTTGAGTTGAGTGCTGTCCAGAATGCATTCTGGTGGCTGGAGATGGTGATGAAGCAGTTCCTGAGCTAGGAGATTGGTAAGGCATAGACTGTAGCTGAGGAGATGGTGGCCCAGAAAGTGATGAACTAGCCAGAGGATGAGAGGCTGTTGGGGAAGCTGTTGCAGCAGACCCTGAATGTGAAGGACCATATGTAATAAGTTGCAACTGAGGGGGAAGCTGACCTCCAACCTGGTCAGCCACTGCAGAAGAAAGAGATTTTTGTCCTGGGTTTGAACAATGGTATCCCATCAATTGCAGATTAGGTGAGGTTTGCACAGAATGAGATGTATGTGCTAAGAGATGTCCTGCTGAGCCTGAATTTGAAGAATGAAATGGTATGGATGACAGTGATTGACAACTAAGATTTACTAAACTAGGAAGAGTTGTATTCTGCTGAAACAAAACTGGATCAAATTCTTGACTAGAGGCAGCATTAACAGGAAGACAAGTTGGTCCATTATATACAATATTACTTTGCATAGGCTGATAGGAAGACCCCACAGGAGAGGTTGGTGTAACTTGAAAAGGCTGGTGCACTACTGGTGTCAGATGTTGCTCTTTACCAGCACCCTCATCCCTACACTGTAACTGTGGTAAATGGGATGATGTTACCATGGATGCATATGGCTGCTGGATAGGACAAATCAAGCTTCTCTGTGATGACAGTACACTGTCATGTGGGTGCCCTGGATCCAAGGAAGGCCTCTGCGTCTGGGCAGAATGAGGCACAGGTACAGGTGGAATTGAAGACAAATCAATTTCTTCTCTATGTTCTTGCTTCATCAAAACTGAAAATAAAATGATTAAAACAAATGTTAAACAATACATAAAATAACAACAGGTTTTCACTCTAGGATACACAGCTGGAGCATATATTCAAGCTGGGGGTGGAAAACTTAGATGACTTCAGGGAAGGCAACTCATGCAAAACAGTGTGTATACACTGGGCATGGTGGCTCATGCCTGTAATCCCAGTACAGTAAGTCCTTGGTTTATGAACATTCGAGTTGCAAACTTTCACAGATATGAACAGACCTCATATTATGAACATTCATAAATGCAAACAAAATGCAGAAGTAGCTCACATGTCTACTGGACATTGTCACAGTTATGTTGTGTACTTATTGTACAGTGTGATGGTGTACAATAGTACTGTGCTCAATCAGAACCCAAGATGTCCAAAAGCAAAAAGAAAAGCAGTGGTGATGTGGAAGGGACTACTAGGAAACTCAAAGCAATATATATTGTATATTTGTGTCAAAGATGTGTAAGAGTCACATTTGTTAGACTTATGAACAAATCCAACTTATGAACATTCTCCTGGAATGGAACTCATTTTTTTTTTTTCAGTACCGGGGATCGAACTCAGGACCTTGCACTTGCAAGGCAGGCATGGCACCACTGAGCTAAATCCCCAGCCCTGGAACTCATTTTTAAGTTGGAGACTTACTATATTCAGGAGGCTGAGGACTCACATTTGCCTATTTTAAAACTTACTATAAAGCTACAGTATTCCAAACAATATGGTACTGGCATGAGGACAGTCATATAGACTAATGGGATAAAATGGAGAATCCAGAAATAAGCCCCTACTCCCAAGTACTGGGAATTGAACCTAAGGCCTCATGCATGCTAGGCAAATACTCTACTACTGAGTATTCCAGCCCTCAGAATAAACTCCTTTTTTTCTCTCACATATTAGCACCATCTGAATTCTTTTTTTTTTTGGTACCGGGTATTGAACTCAGGACCTTGAGCTTACAAGGCAGGTGCATCACCACTGAGCTAAATCCCCAGCCCTGAATTCTCTTTTTCAGAATAAACTCTTACATGGTCAATGAACCCTTACAAGGCTAATGATCTTCAAGACCATTCAACAAATAGTGTTGAAAAAATTGGATATCCACATGTAAAAGAATAAGGTTGGATTCTTACCTTACATGATATATAAAAATTAACTCAAAATAGACCAAAGACCTAAATTTAGCTGATAAGCTATAAAATCCTTAGAAAACATAAAACAAATACTTACGACCTTGATTTGGCAATAGTATCCTAATTATGATACTAAAAGCAAGGGCAAGAAAAAAAGATAAACTGAACTTCATAAAAATTAAGAACAAGAACATCAAAGGTATTAAAAGAGAGTGGTAAGACAACCCAGAAAATGAGAAAAAAAAATATATGAACAATATATCTGAAAAGGGTTTAATAGCCAGAATACATAAAGAATTCCTACAATTCAACAAGACTGGACCAGAGATTTGAAGGGGACCCTGGGACTTATCTAGATGGGAATATATGTATATATGTATACATACGTATGTGTGTATGTATACACACATATATATATATACATATGTAAGTATGTATGTATGTTGTGGGGTAGTGTATATGTGCCCATTCTTTCTCTACAGTTGCTAATAACAAAGACCAAACCTAGAAATGCTATCTGGTGAAAAAGCCTGCCTGAGAGTAAAGTCAACAGAAAGAAAGCAACATTAAGAGGAAGAGAAAGTCTAAACCCTGAGACAACACTGCTTGAAGTGAACCAAGTCTGAAGCCAGTCGTCTAGTTAACCTTCTAATTACGTGAGCCAAATATAAATTTTCTTTTTAAGAGTCTGAATTAATTTCTATTCTTTGCAACAGAAAGATTCTAATAATTCACTTCAAACAACCTGTATGAGGTTATTTCTCTTACCTTATAGATGTGTATACTTAAGAGGAGATTAAAGATACTATGATCTTATAGCAATTAAGTAGCATTAAAAGGACTTGGAGCCAGGTGTTTCTACCTCCCAAGTCCATACTTTGTATCACTATAGCACAATGTATTACAAAGGACGATTCTATTTCTCATTCTATCAAGCAAGCAGAGGTTATGAATACCAGCCATTATCTTTTATCACATTTTACAAAAAGTATCCTCGCTCACTTTGCCAGCACATAGTCTAAAAAAAGTATCAGATCCATGATTTAGGATGAATCTTCCTAACAAAAGGACTTCCTGAAGTAGGAATTAATACATTTTACTTATTTCATTTAATGTGCACATAAAAAAGAGTGATCAGTTAATTCATTAGCTGTCAATATAACTAGGCTGGTGATGTAGCTCCGTGGCTGAGTGCTTGCCTAGTGTGCACAACTCTTGAGTTTGATCTTTAGCACTGTAAAAATTGATTTCAGGGGCCGGGGATTTAGCTCAGTGGTGCCCTGCCTGCCTGGGAAACACAAGGTCCTGAGTTCAATTGCTGGTACCAAAAACAAACAAACAACTCATTTCAGTTTCCCTAGGCAAGCACTTCTAGTCCATTTTCCTACAAATTACAGTTGTACTTTTTAGCCTTCTATTGAAGTTCCACAACTCATTTAAAGAACAAAATTTTTTTTGTTTTGTTTTTGCTTTTTGAGACAGGGTTTTACTATGTAGCCCAGGTTGGCCTTGAACTCTAAGCAATACTATTAGCTCAGCCTCCTGAGTGCTGGGTACAGGAATGCACCACCACACCTGGCTAAAAAATAAATTTTCTGAACTCGCTTTATTGTTCCTTTCAGGCTATAATACTAATAAACATAATTAAAAATTTTATAATCATCACAAAATATAAGTACTTTGTTTAAAAAGTAGGCAAGAGTAAGACCCAAATCAAGGTCAAATCTCAACTATTATTAAATTCCTGTCAAGTACAAGTCTCTTCATATAGCTGGGCATAGTGGCACATGCCTACAATCCCAGCACTTCGGAGGCTGAGGCAAGAGGATCTCCATGAGCTCCAGGCCAGCCTAGGCTACACTGTGTTCAAGGCCAACCTGAACTACATAGCAAGACCGTGTCTCAAAAAACAAAACAAAACAGAACGGAACAGAACAGAATGGAACAGAACAGAACAATCAAGTCTCTTCACATAAATATGGTATTAATGTAAGGAAATGAAGTTTTGAAAGATTAAGTTTCTATTTAAAGTCACTTGGTTAGTTCAAGGGTTTGACATTAGATTTCAAGTCTTTTGTTTAGGCTAAGAATTAAGATAGTCTTGATAGTAAATCTTACTATAAAAGAGATTTACTGAAGCACCTATTTAGAGGAGCATCTAAATTCTGCATTTTATTTTGTCCTCCTAACAAGACAGAACAGGTTCATGATCCGCTGTGGTAAACCTCTAAACATGGCAATTGGTGAACCCACAATACTGAACAATGAGACAATAATCCAAAGGACAGAAAAATGTCATGAACAATTTTCTTGTTCTTTCTGTGTTCAGGTCACTATCCAGTGCCTGATTCTTGCTCAGGAGGGTGAGGTTTTTTGTTTTTTGTTTTTTTGGTACTGGGGTTCGAACTTGGGTCCTTGTGCTTACGCAGCAGGGGGCGAAACCACTGAGCTAAATCCCCGGCCAGGTTTTTTTGGTTTTTTTTGAGACAGGGTCTTGCTGTGTAGTCCGACTGGCCTTGCACTCACTATGTAGCCCAGGCTGGCCTTGAACTCGAGGCAATCCTCCTGCCTCAGCCTCCCGAGTGCTGGGATCACAGGCATGCACCACTACACTGAACAGGAGTTTCAACTACAGTTAAAACTATAGTTAACTGGGTGTACTGGCTCCTGACCTCTCTAATGTCTTTGTGTACTACCTTTTCTTCTAACTTTCAGAGAACTAGAGCAGTGTCCCTACACCACTAGATTTTCTACCCTACTCCACCCCCAGGCTACCTACCTTACCCTCAGCCTGGTCAGGGACGCTACAGTGAATCCTATATCCAGAATTATATTTCTACACAAGGAGTAAAAATATTTAAGAAAGCCTACTCACATACTTTAATTAATTCTAATGGAGGAAGCGGAGTCCTTGGTTACATTAGTGGTTGCTTACTGCGCACTAAAAAGGAGACAGAGGGACTGAAAACTACAGTTTAATATCCATCTTTTTCTGCATGATCCAATATTTATTACTTTGTGCCTGACCCATATAATCATACTAAAATTGAGAGTTTTAATCTGTTGAGTGTTAATTCCACTCTCCTAAATTAAGAATTAGTTTTGTCTATAAGAAGTTGACACTCCAACTTGACCAAATCACAGGAGCCCTCACTGCTTGTCTATTCATGGTAATTTATTCTTGTTTGGACAGAAGTATAGTTAAAAGGACCTTATAATATTCAGAACGAGCTGAGTTTTAGAAACAGATTAACCCTATCTTTTGTGTTATATATGCTCATTCTTGAATTTAGAATATTGATGTATGCAGGGGATCCAGAAAAAAAAATCAGTTGGTCTAGTGATTTTCAAACCATGGGTAGCCTCATATTCACCTAAAAATAGTAGATACAGAAGAGCAGGATTCAGAGAATAGAAGCTCTATTTTTCTTCTTCCAGTGCAAACAGAGCACTTCAGCTGTCTTTCATTCTGTTACATATATATGACTTTTGTGTAAAGTTATATATGAAAAATAAAGCAATCTAAACAATTTGAAATCAATTTAGTCTTATGCTTTCAGGGGTACCATCTCTGGCAGGGCTGAAATTTGATCTGACTTACTGCAGTACCCCTCCCTTCAGAACAACAATCCAAAAGGCAGGTCCAGTCAACTACTTAGAACACTTAGAATTCTTTCCCATAGGCACAATGTTATATATGAGAGTCTGGCTATAATGCTGCCCCTGAAAGCCCCATTATTCTAAAACTAGAGCTCAGATGGCACCTATAATGCACATAACTTCTGCTGAGTCTCAGAAGGAGGTATTTTGTTTCAACAACTTCAAGGATGCTGATGTAAGGTGGAGGTTCCCA